TACACTGCAGTAGTGAGGATGTCACTTGAGAGAGGCATTTGGTCCTTCCTTCTCCAGTCCCCAGTTAAGCTCTACTGGCTGGGCCTTCTGTCAAGTATTCTGTGGGCTGCACTGGGCTTTTTGGTTGGGAAGCCATTATTAATAGTTCCTGTTCAGAGCACTCTGCAAAAGAGTGGCAGATTGTGGAGGCAACGTGTAGCTTGAAGCTCTTCCAGACCTCCAGGACTACTGGTAGGAGACAATGGCAGAGCCCGTCATCATAACTTCTTTCCTCCTGGCTCCTTAGATCTAGAAAACCAACCTTGCATTATTTTACACAAATTAGATGATCAAGACAAAGTCTCAGTGTCACTGAATGATTGAAAACGCATTTGCAATGACAAGAGAGGTGAGAAAGTGGAGGAGTTCACAGGGTGGAGGTGATTCTTTCACAGTTCTGTTTCCAATTCTTTAGCCCTGGGCTTTGAGGGATCCGATAAAGGAGTGGAATAGTCCCATTTCCTTCCTCTTAATAATTAGAACAGCCTTAATGACGAATGCTTACTGAACACACACTGACAGCCAAACAGAATGTTCAGCAGTTTACCTGGGAAACTTGTTCAGTCTTCACAACTGCTCACTTTTCAGATGAAGCTCAGAGAGATTAAGGAATCTGGCCACTGTCATATCCTTGGCCAGTGGCAGGTCCAACATTCAAACCCAGTCTGAGTCTAGATTCTAAGGCCTGACCCACTGTGTGTCCTGCCTCTAAGTGGCTGTTCCTGTTCCTTATCTGTTCCTGGTTGCCAGCATCGGCTGAAGCACTTTGAGCTTCTTCCATGCCTGGAAACTGTTCTGAGGCTGAGCCTGTCGGTGGAGAGCTGCTGTCCCTTGAGGTGCTGACCCGCACTGTCAGAAGGAAAGCCAGAGTGGAAGGCAAATCCAGGATTGGCAGAGCCAGGAGAAGCCCTTTGTATATTCCCCTTGGGAAAAAACATGAGGAAATTGCATTTTTTAATAAATGAGTTTAGACAAGCCTCTTTTTTTACTCCATATCCGGGAATAGCCAACCTTCTCTAGAAGCTTCTTGACTGCAGAGGGGGAAATTTCCCAGATGTTTTTGGAAAGTTGGCTCTGTCTGTCATGTGCTGTGCTCCTCAAGGCTGAGCATTTGGTTTGCAGGCAGTGGGGACCAGCTAGGGACACCCTCACAGGTGCTTTTTCGCATGCAATGTCAGAGTTGAAGTGGTCAGCAAAATTGGCTTAAAATAAGAGCACAATGCTACAACAAGGGGCAACCTTGATGAAGGCAGTTTGCCCCTGGACAGTTCCACGGGTTGGCTATCCCTGTGAAAGTGTGCATCCCCCAGAGGCTGGCCCAGCATGGCAGGCCTGGGACCCTGATATGGGTCAGTGTAGTGGGTTGAATCACGGCCCCCAAGAAGATATGGCCAAATCCTAACCTGTGGAACCTGTGACTGTGACCTTATTTAGAAAAAGTGTCTTTACAGATGTAATTAAGTTAAGGATCTTGAGAGGAAATCATCCTGGATTTAGGGTGGGCCCTAAGTCCACTGACAGGTATCTTTATTAAGAGAAAAGTGGGAGAGCTTTGATGCACAGGGGAGAAGGCTGCATGAAGAAGGAAGCAGAGACTGGAGTGATGCAGCCACAAGCCAGTGAGCCTGGAGCCACCAGGAGCTGGCAGAAGCAAACAGGGATTATTCCCTAGAACCTTCAGAGGAAGTGTGGCCTCTCTGATACCTTGATTTCCAACTCTTGACTTCCAGAACTGTGAGAGAATGAATTTTTGTTGTTTTAAGTCACTCCATTTGTGGTCATTTGTTACAGTAGCCCCAGAAAACTAATAAAGAGAGCCCTGCTCTTGTCTTGGGCCTGTTTTACTATTTATACTTCCCCCACCCCAGAGTAACAAGTTATGCACTTACAATGAGAAACACACTGAGAAGGGGAGGCCAGCACCTGCTCAGGGCATTCTGCCTCTGTAGACAGTTGGAGGGCAGAAAATCAGATGCTGGTGCTGGTGGACATTCAGAATGTTCTCCTGGCCCAGGTCCTGGGAGGGAATCTCTCTCCTGACTCTGGGGACAGCCTTGCTGGGTGGCTTCTAGAGGTTTAACCAGCACCCCAGCTCCCTGTGTGTGGGGAGAAGGGGAGGTGAACCTGGCTTCCCTGACTTCCTCTCTTCTGTCCAAGCCTTTGGCCTACAGAGCGAGCCATCCTGTGGATTCTCACTGCCCTTCTCTAAATAGGGCATGGCTAGAACCCCACATACTCTATTATCATCACAGGCCACATTTCATGTTTCCTCCTTTAGCCAGCTTGAGTTTTGGATGTTTCCAATGTCTTTGGTGACATGTTTACCAATAACTCTTCTTAGTTAATTCTCACAGATGGCTAATCCTTTATCAGTAAATTTTTCTAGTTTCACTCTAAGAACCCAAGTCCTTGAGAAGCAAGGGAGGCACCCCATGGCCAAGACTCACACTTTTTGGCAAGAGGGCTGGTGGTGCTCAGGGAAGTCCACAGCCATGGGGAGAGTTGGGCCCCTGACATGAGCTGCAGAGCCATAAACAAGATACAAAGGAATGGCCTTTAGTTGGTGCTTATTATCAGGAAGATTCATCCTTACTACTCTTTTTTCTCTGTGTGTGTAAGTGAGTATGTGTGTGTGGTATGTGTATTGAGTCTGTGGGTCAGACACTAGCCACCACAGTGTTTGGCTTTTTCCAACTGTAAATATAAGGAAGAGACTTTGAAGGTCTTATTGTTTTTTCCTTTCCATTCTAAAATCCTAAGATCCTATGGAACATGTCCCAGGAGAATTTCAAACAAAAAATAAGGAGTTCACAAACACTTTCAACTGTTCAAGCTTATGCGGGAACTCTAAACCCACAGGAAGAAGAAACTTTTCAACTCCTCCTCATTGATTCACTGTTATAACACTCGACCCTCTCAGCAGAATGTGCTGCTGTGAGGGACTCGCACTGGGTAACATCATAAGCTCTTTTGGTTTGTTCTTACAACATTTGTCCTTGAGCAACCTTGCAGGTGGCAAGACTGCTGCCCACAGAGGGGATGCCTGCGGATGCATTAGTGTTTCACCGCCAGCCCTGGGTGACAGTCGCCAGGCTTCATCTTCTGAAGAACAGCGTTCCTTTATTTGTCTGGTTCTCCCTTTGACTCCTGACTGCACCCTTTTCCTGCTGATTTCCTTGCACACAACAAGGATTTCCTTGCAATAAAGGGAAAAATAGACAAGTATGTGAAATGCAGAAAACTATATGATGAGCAGCTCAACAGCAGATGCATTCAGCTCCATTTCTTCCATTCCTGGATTCACCTGTGGCCCCAGCAGCCCCCATCTCTGACTCTCAAAATATCAAATGGACACTCTCACCTGAAGACATGGTGGCCCAATGTGCTGGCCCTCTGTAGGAGGGTTTTGATCTCATTTTTGCTCTGTTCCTTCTTTGCTTTGTCTCCTCTGTTTTTGTGGACTTGGTTTGGGGAGTAGGGAGGGTGGTGTGAAGAGGTGCACGGTCCCAGGAATTGTCCTCTCTGCAAAGCTAATGAGACCTGCTTGGGCCTTGTCTGTACCTAGCTCTATGCAGCTGAAAGACCAGCCCAGGCACAGACCCCACTGGGTGGTGTACAGGAGTTCATGTGTAACTCTTGTTTCTGAGACTCACTAGGCAAAGGCCAGAGATAGAGCCTCAGAACACTGTGGACCCACTCCCGTCTGGTTTTCCCACATTCCCTCCTATTCTCCTCTCACATGCCCTCTCTGTCCCGGAACTGTATGCCGGCCCTTGGGGATAGACTGGTGAGCAAACCTAACACGGATCGTGTCCTCTATTCACTCAGGGATTGGTTTTCCTTTTGTAATGCTGGGGAAATGCCCAAGCAGGGAACAGGTTTGTCTCCTCCCTTCGCTGAATGTGTGGATACTGGGGCTCAAGTCCTGCCCCGGCTCCACCTCTGTCTGCAATGAGCAGAGAACTCCATCACCTCCAGACAGGCCCTGGCCCCAGACCCAGCCTTGTTCTGAAGGTGTCTAGCACCCTCTGTTGGTGACCCAGACCAAATACCCTGGGCCTTGGCTTGGGACACGGGCTGCCCCAGGGAACCTTATCAGCTCAACGGAACCCTGTGTGTTGTGCGTCTGTCCAACCACATACTCCTACATGCCAGACTGTTCTAGGGGGTGAGGATATACAAATGTGCAGGGTAAATGTTTAGTCTCCTTACATGTTTCAACTCCCGTCTTTTGAAGGAGGATCCCAATGCTGGAAGATGGACCAGGAACAGGGCTCATTCTAGTACTAGGCTTTCAAAACACTAGGCTTTGAATAATCCCTTTCAAAGCACTAGGCTGAGAGGTCTAAGCATCAAGAGGCCCCTCTATGGCTGTCCTCTGTTCCCTAGAGTTCCTGACCTCAGAGGACAGATCTGGCCCCACCCCTGTGCCACCTGCAGAATCATGGGCTCAATTCCTCTGGGGAGACTGAAACTCCTGTTCCCCCCATGCCTACCTTCACCCTCATCCTGTAACTCCTCCCTTCTTCTCCCTAAATGGGAACTCACTGGCAGTGGGCATGACTGGGCAAGGGTGAGTCCCTATCAGAATCCTCTGTCTTCTTCCTTCCAGCCAAGCTGTCATTGCTGGGCCCTTTATACACCTGATGCTCCTGCTGGTCCCCTGACCAGCTCCCCTGCCATTTAAAGGCCAACGCACACACCTTGATGTTCAGCAACGACTGTGGGAAACTCATGCTCCCTTTCTTGCTCCAACAAGATCATAAAAATACAGTTGTGTGCAAGAGGCTGGCCCTCCAGATCCCTGCATGTGCCACCACATCCTTTAAATGAATCAGCTCTTTCAGAGGGACCAGCCCTGAGAGGGCAGAATGCTCATGAGCAGAAAGACAGAATGCAAGCTTTTCATTTGTTTGTATTCCCTTTCTGGGATTTATGTAGTTTAACATTTTTCTTTTAACTTTTGTTTCAATAGAACAACTTTATTGACTTATAATCTATGTGCCATCCAATTTACCTATTTAACAGGTACAATTCAATGGTTTTTAGCATATTCACAGAGTCATGCAGCCATCACCACAATCAATTTTAGAACATTTTTCTCACCCCATAAAGAAATCTCATACCCATTAGAAATCCTTTCCCATTTCCCCCAGGAACCCCCAGCCCCTGGCAACTACTAATCTACTTTCTCCTTCTATGGATTTGCTTATTCTGGACATTTCAAATAAATGAGATCACACAACATGTGGCCTTTTGTGTCTGGCTTCACTCACAAAACAAGCTTTTGCTCCATATTTTATTTGCATTTTAATCAGAGTGACCATATAATTTGTCATCCAAACTGGGACACTTTTAGAGGGAAAGGGATGCTTTTCATACTTGTGCTGTGACAAGCAGCATAAACTGGGGTTGCACGGATGAGAACGTCCTTCCTTCTACTGAAATGGTAAATAATCCACACCTCCCACCCACTCTGCAGCTACCTGCCTTCCCCTCCCTAAGTTAAAATCAGCAAATCTCAGTAACCTCAGGTCTTGCCAATAACGGAAGTTAATGTACTTCCAGAGTTGCTAATGCTCTGTTTACAGCTGAAGCATGCTTATAATTTATGGGAGAAAGAAGACTAATTTCCCCCAAAGAGACGAGAACTGGCAGTTTTATTTTTCATTTTGGAAGCATGAAATTTGACTGCACGGGGTGCAAACTGTGAAAGAAAGCAGATGCAGAAAACAAAGCTGTTATGACAAATGTGGGAAGGATGTCGTGAACTATGGGCCATCAGAATGAGACTCTGGGAGGCTTAATTGGGTAGGTCACGCGTCGCAGTTCTGAAAAGGGCAATGTAATTATTTATGGTTGTGCTGTTCAATGCACCTGGCTCAATGTCACCTCTCACTGCGATGGTCTCTCCCATGCTCTTTTTGATACTCTGAAAATTGCTTCAGTGTTTGTAAGTAAATGCAAAATTTATTATTTTTTAATTATAGGTATCTGTTGGGTGCAGATAGAAGTTAAGGCTGCTTGACAACACCCTCTCCCTCACCGCCGGCAAATGAGCATGAGAAGCAATTCAGCAGCAGACATTTTTAACTATTGATTCCCTCCTGGCTGCAGCAAGGCTTGATCAAATAAGGAAATCTCTCTATCACCACACATAGTATTGAGGGCCCACCACATGCAAGCTACTACTCTAAACACCCTGTAAGAATTGCAAACGGAATATATTTCGGCTGCCTTGGAATGGCACCGTGCAAAAGGAAAAATTATATATAGTAACGAAGAAATCATCTTTCCCTAATCTGTCTCTGATCAGACCTCTGCATCAGCTGTGAGCCTAAATTCTCTAAGAAATCCACTGATTTTTCAATGAATTTTTTGTGTTCTGAATTCACTAAGAAAGCCAATTTGGACCACCCATCCCAGTGTGCTCAGAGATTGCCCCATGTGGAAGGTGGTTGGGTTCTTGCTGTTTAGGGATAGGCTCTGTCCTGGGAGCTGGATGTTGGGTCTTGACATCTCCAGACCAAGGAGGCTCCCTTGTGACCATCCTGTTCTGGACCCCAGATGCAAATGTGCTCTGCTGGCATCCCAAGCAGCCTTTGTTTGTGTGTGTTTTGTGTCTCAGCTCATCCATCTGGCTCCCCTTCTGCCACCTTTTCTTCTATTTACGCCCACCATTCTCGATTTGTCTTCCAGCTCTTTCTGAACCAATTATGCTATAGACAGATTTAGTCAATTTCCAGGCCAGATGCTCAAATACATCCTCTTCTGCATTAAAGATCATCAACGTAGGCTCCCAGCCAGCCACAGGATTTACAGACCCTTGGAATTCCAGGAGAAATCCTCAGAAACTTTTCTGATTCGGGTACTATTCCCAAATTCATTCACTCGGGGGGAAAAAGGCCACTGATTTACCAACAGCGTGGAAAACATCTTACGCGTGGGTCCGCGGACCCAGTCTCTCCCATAGTCAAAAGATCTGGCCTAGACTAACTGGTGCAGGTATGTCCTGATATGATATTCTGCACAAGCTCCGCCACACACCACTTCTAGGAATGGTGAGCCATGTTGGAGAAGCCTCTCAGCAGTTGGGCAGACCCACGCCTCTAGCCTAGAAAACTGGGTTTTTCTCATCAGCGCTATTTTCCACACTTTCTTGCTGGTTCAAATTGTTGATGAAAAAGCCAAACTCTGTAAAACAATTTGAAGAGAATTATTCTGAGCCAAATGTGAGGACCATGACCCATGACACAGCTCCAGGAGGTCCTAAGAACATGTGCCCAGGGTGGTTGGGTTCCAGCTTGATTTCCTACACTTTAGGGAAAGAGAAGTTACAGGCAGACATCAATCAATACATGTAACGTGTACATTGGTTCCGTCTGGAAAGACAGGACAACTTGGAGCATGGGCTTGTAAGTCATAGGTAGATTCAAAGATTTCCTGATTGGCAATTGGTCGAGAGAATTAAGTTATTATCTAAAGACCTGGAATCAATAGAAAGGAGTGTCTGGGTTAAGATAAAGGGTTGTGGAGACCAAAGTTCTTATTCTGTAAAGTCCTATAGGTAGCTGCCCTTAGAGGCAATAGATGGCAAATGTTTCCTACTCAGACTTTTCAAAGGTGCTAGACTCTCAGCTAATCTCTCCAGCATCAGAAAAAGACCTGGAAAAGGAAGAATGTAAATTTCCCCAAGAGACAGCTTCGCACTGCTCTTTCAAAATATGTCAAAGAAATATATTGAGAGGGAAAATACTTTGATTTCTTTCAGGGCCTGCTATCTGTCATGTGATGTTATGCTAGAGTCGGGTTGGAATTTGGTATCTTATTGCTACCAAGAGTCTGTTTTGTTAATCTTAAGATCTCTGTTTTAATTTAATGCTGGTCAGTTGTTCCTGAATTCCAAAGGCAGGAGAGTATAATGAAGCGTATCTAACCACTGCCCCCCTTCCTATCATGGCCCCAAACTAGTTTTTCAGGTTTACTGTGGAATCCCCTTGGCTGAGAGGTGAGGTCCATTAAGTCAGTTGCCGGGCGGAGGGGGGAGGGGGCGGAAGGGTTAAATTTTATTTTTGGTTTACAGGGTGCTATTTGTGCAGAGTCCTCCGTATTTTCAAGGTATGTAGCATGTTTAAGACCATTATCTCTTGCCTCACCTTCAAGGTCCAGGAAAGGCAGCAGCACCAATGAAACAGGTATTTTAAGGAGGAAAAGCTCCTCCCTTCACCCCACCAGGGAAAGAAACTAGCCCCTCAGCTGGGACTCAGTGGATCCTTACAGAGCAGGTATTCTCGCCACCGGGGCAAAAATCCAAGGGCTCCGGGGTTCCTGGCTCATGGGAAAGTCGCCCATCACTTCCAGAGCCACAGGCAGATACCTCTTTACCATTCTTGCTCTCCCAAAGGCATCCCTGGCTTCCTGCTGAGAAGTAAGTCTCAAAATTCAGTGTGCAAAAGGGCTCTCTAGGCTGGGTGCAGTGGCTCATGTCTAATCCCAGCACTTTGGGAGGTCAAGGCGGGTGGATCACCTAAGGGCAGGAGTTCGAGGCCAGCCTGGCCAACATGGCAAAACCCTGTCTCTACTAAAAATACAAAAAGTTAGCCAGGCATTGTGGTGGGCGCCTTTAATCCCAGCTACTTGGGAGGCTGAGGCAGGAGAATTGCTTGAACCTGGGAGGGGGAAGTTGCAGTGAGCTGAGATTGCGCTGTTGTACTCCAGCCTGGGCAACAGAGCGAGACTCTGTCTCCAAAAAAAAAAAAAAAAAAAGGGTGGCAGGGGAGCTCGCTAATCCACTTCCAGGGGTCTTAATTCAATGAGCCCCATAAAGCCACAGCTTAAACAAGCACCCAGGTGATGTCGATACAGGGCATCACCAACTGCAAAATACTAGCCACCTGGTGGCATGGCTGCCCTTTATCTCCAGGCTTCTTGGCTCCAAAGACAAATGCTCTTGATGCTACCCCATAGGTTGCATGCAGACTGCTCCACCTGGTTCCCAGGTATGAAGAGTCCAACGAAAGTCCAGGGGATACAGCAGAGGGAGGAGCCATAGAACCTGGAGGCCAGACGGAGCACTCTGTATACAGCCTGTGGGCAGCGTGAAGAGCCCCTGGTCAAACCTGAAGACAGAGAGGACAAAACCAGTCTCACCTTGACCGAAGTCACCCCAGAGGAGCCATTGGTTTGAAGGCCTGAGGAAGAGAAGGATCCAATGTCACCAACAATTGTCCTACCACCATAGGTTAACCCTGAAGGTCAAGCCTTCCAAAACTCCCTCTGCTTTACTGATGATCAACATTACATTAACTATGTTAAATACTACATGTAGTACATGATGAGTGTGGAGTCAAAAGGAAGCCAGGCTAAACTTGTTCATAAAAAGTGCAATTTCCTCCTCTTTTTCCCCAAGGGGAATATAGAAAGATTTTGGCCTGACTCTGCCAATCCTGGATTTGCCTTCTGCTTGGGCTTTCCTCTGACAGTGCATGTCTGCACCTCAAGGGACATAATATACATTTGATATTGCTTAATAAACTTTTATTCTGTGCCACAAGGTGGGGACCCTCCTTGTGGGAGGCAACAGCATGTATGAAGACCCTGGATAAGACAGTGCTCTGATCACTCGCTCCTGAAAGTCTGTAGGGCTCACAGACTAGCAGCATCACCTAGAGCATGTTAGAAACACAGGTTCTCAGCCCTCACCTCCCAAATCAGAATATGCATTTAACAAGATGTCCAGGTGACTTGTATGCACATGAAAAATCAAGAGGCTCTGCTTTGTTTCTCACAAACCACTGCGAGCTCGGATTCACGGAGGCACAAAAGGGTTACATAACTTTGGTTCTTAAAGTAGTATACTTATGGATTTTGTCTTTACGGTAGATGTACCTCAGCCCATGCCTTTTCTTTTTCTTGTAAATACAGGTGTACAGATTTCTATTAATAAATGAATTCCAAATTGATTTCTGAAGCCAGAGCTGACTGTGCACTGCTGCACTCTGGTGGGGAAGACCTGGAATTGCAGGTAAATGCTGGCTCCCATACAATTCAGAAGGAATTCCTGTTAGCCAAGGCTCCTGGACTCCTCAAGGGAATCTTTAAAATTAGTAAGCACACTTTTTACACCTCACATGTCTCATATCTAACCTGTGTCTGGGTTAATTAAATGGATTTAAGACCTCAGGTACCTGACCGATCAGTGTTAACTTTGTTCTGAAGAAACAGTCACAGTCAATGTTTCTTACTGCAGTCTTTGGGCACAAGCGTTTGGCTCTCTCTGGTACCTGCCACCTGTGAGGGTACACATGTCTCTGGTACATTAGCTCCTGCTACTGAGGGTCCTCAGCTCCATAGCAAGAGCCACTTGAGAATGACACCTGCATTTTTAGGCTTTGACTATGGGAGGATGCAAAAGAAGAAAAATGGTTCTGCCCCACTGCCTGGGCTTGGCTGAAGTGAAGATGACTGTTTAGGCAGCTCGAGGGGAATCCTCTGGGACTCTTTCCCAGGATAATTTTCAATACCCACCCCGGGGCCCCCTGGCCACCTCCCCGACCTGCCCAGCCAGAAGCAACCTCTCTTATTCCTGAGTGCTTAAAGCTCTTTGTCCTCAGCTCCTTGCACCCAGAGTTACCAGATTTACCAGGAGTAATGTGAGAAGGCAGTAACCGTTCCTGCTTGCTGTCCTCTGCTGGGCAGAAAGCCCATGGGGAGCAGGGATCATCTTTCGTCACTCGGGGCAGGAGTCAATGATGTACATAATCCTAGAGACAGATTTTATAAATGGCCAAGTCTATCCCCTTATTAAACTGCAGCCACCAGCATGCCCAGCCATAGAACTGTAAGGCCTGCATTCGCTGACACCATGGATGTGGGCCTCCTCTGTGGGGACAGCCAGCCCTGTACAGTGCTCTAAATATCTGTGGATCTCCTGCCAAAGTGCTCAAGGCTGATAGGGGGTGAGTGCCCAGGATGGAGCCACCGGCTGAAATGTGACAAGATGAGAGTCTTCCAGACTTGTGGCCCAACATTTCATCCAGAATAAAGCGTATCTGAGATTTTACTGTCTCCCTGAAGAACAATCACATTAAGTGTGATTGATTGGTTGAAGTGTGAGCTATAAGCTGGCATGGGGCAGGCCTCATATCAGCTTCGGAGCTGGAGCTATTGGGCCTCAACCATCGGTCCACACTAATGCTGTTCTCCTGGCCTTTCCAGCTGTCCTATCAAAGAGTGAGGAACCCCGTAGACTTCCCTGTTCTGGGTTCTAGATTTTAAACACCTTCCTGTGGCTTTAAGGAATGTCCTTCAGTCTGAATACAATCTTGCTTAGTCTGGGTTTCTTTTGACTGTAAGCACTCTTGGAATAGTGTAAGTCATTGTCAGGAAGCAATAGGGAAGAAAGAGGCTTATCAACAAAACCATCAGTGTCAGGTGTAGAAACTGCTGCTGTGGAAAGTGAGCCTGGAAGACCTGTCTTGAGTCCTAACTCTCTGTCTTTTTCTAACTCTCTGTCTTTTTCTAGTGGGAGTCCCTGGACAAATCTTTTTTTTTTTTTTTTTAATTTATTTATTATTATTATACTTTAAGTTGTAGGGTACATGTGCATAACGTGCAGGTTTGTTACATGTGTATACTTGTGCCATGTTGGTGTGCTGCACCCATCAACTCGTCATTTACATCAGGTATAACTCCCAATGCAATCCCTCCCCCCTCCCCCCTCCCCATGATAGGCCCCTGTGTGTGATGTTCCCCTTCCTGAGTCCAAGTGATCTCATTGTTCAGTTCCCACCTATGAGTGAGAACATGCGGTGTTTGGTTTTCTGTTCTTGTGATAGTTTGCTAAGAATGATGGTTTCCAGCTGCATCCATGTCCCTACAAAGGACACAAACTCATCCTTTTTGATGGCTGCATAGTATTCCATGGTGTATATGTGCCACATTTTCTTAATCAAATCTGTTACTGATGGACATTTGGGTTGATTCCAAGTCTTTGCTATTGTGAATAGTGCTGCAATAAACATACGTGTGCATGTGTCTTTATAGCAGCATAATTTATAATCCTTTGGGTATATACCCAGTAATGGGATGGCTGGGTCGTATGGTACATCTAGTTCTAGATCCTTGAGGAATCGCCATACTGTTTTCCATAATGGTTGAACTAGTTTACAATCCAACCAACAGTGTAAAAGTGTTCCTATTTCTCCACATCCTCTCCAGCACCTGTTGTTTCCTGACTTTTTAATGATCGCCATTCTAACTGGTGTGAGATGGTATCTCATTGTGGTTTGGATTTATTCTAGTAAGCCATTCATCTAATCTGTTTTCAAGGTTTTTACCTTCTTTGCGATAGGTTCAAACATTCTCCTTTAGCTCAGAGAAGTTTGTTATTACCGATCTTCTGAAGCCTTCTTCTCTCAACTCATGAAAGTCATTCTCTGTCCAGCTTTGTTCCATTGCTGGCAAGGAGCTGCATTCCTTTGGAGGAGAATTGGCCGAGATTATGCCACTGCACTCCAGCCTGGGTGACAGAGTGAGACTCCGGCTCGAAAAAAAAAAAAGAAAAAATAATAATCTGTCCTATGAGCACAGTAATTCACATCCTTCCTCAACACTCCAAAATATCAGTAATATAAATACTATAAAAGTGTATTTCTCACTCACACAGACAAAGGCACGCCAGGGCTAGCATGGCAGCAATATGATGATCAGGGAACTGGTCTTCTGTCTTGTTGCTCTTCTGTTGTTAACATAAGACTTTTACTTCATGGTCCAAGACGACTTCTTGGGCTCCAGTCATCAAAATCACATTTCTGCCAGCAAGAAGGAATAAGGCAGGAGAATGAGCACACTGTTCCTTTAAGGATGCCTTTCTGGAAGTCATATATGACACTCCTTATATTTCATTGGTTAAAATTTAGTCAGATGACCACCTGAGCTCAAGGGAGATACAGTGGTCAGTTAAAAATCACATGTTCTAATACTAAAGAAGAAGGGTAAGTGAATGAATGGTAGGGGACAACTGGTAGCCTTCGCCACAACTCCCAAATCTATACCTCCAGGCCAGACTCCTCTATAGCTTCCACCAGTTTGGTATTAAAAGGCATTTTAAACCCAAATGTCTAAGGCTGAGCTCATGATCTCTCCAAAACCAGCTCCATTTCTGATGTTCCCTTTCTCAGCGAAGGACGCCACTGTCTAGCTGTGCAAGCCAGAAACTCAGAAGCCATCCTTGATTCTTAAGACAGAAAGCATTATTTGCTCACAATTCATCCTTGCATGGCTTCCCTGGGGTGGAGTTTAATTCCCTCTGTTACTGTCTTTGGGCTTTGCCATTTGGTGTCCTGTGGCTGATGTATACACAAAGACACTTTTTAGGCTTTGTCTTGCCGGTGACTTGGAATGGGCTGTGTGCTTTGGTGTGGCCTCTTGCCCTTCTTCTATCAACCATGGAGAGCTTGCCCTGTGTTGCTGCAGGTCCTAGAACAAGAGACACAAAGGGATGCCCTGAACCTCACCTGCGACCTGAAGCAGAAATGCCCCAGTCAACCTGCAGAACTATTAACAAGAGAAATAAATGATTATTGTAAGCCACTGAGAATTTGGAGTTGCTATTCAGCATTATAGGGGAGACCTAAGTAATACAATTATCTGACTCTCCACCTCTGTTCCTTCATTAAAACCTATCTGTGGATCTCAATAACATCTTAAAATCCCGTTCTTCACTTCATCTCCAGTGCCACCACCATCTGAGCCAAGCTACTGCCACTTTTTGTCTGGGCCACTGCAATGACCTCCTGCCTGTTCTCACAGCCTTTGCTCTGGCCGCGTGGCACTTAGCTCTCCACCCAGCAGCAAGGGTGACCTTGGAAAGGAATTACATTAATAACAGGAATGGGTCTGAACACTATCTCGGCCCAGGGGGTTCTGTTAGTCTTATCCACAGACAGAAATGAAGGATCTCTTCCATCTGAAGCATCACTAGCCCATTTGGGTATGTCCTCGTTATTATTTTCTCTTTGGAAAGGGAATGTACATAGGTCATCAGCCATTTAATTGAGGAGATAGTTTGGATGGACTGAACAAAAAGGGGTGTCGCCTCTGCTGGGTTAGTGATGGGCAAAGTGCAGGCAGCTGGGAAGATGGCCCCTCAGCCCAGGCCACTGACAAGCCGCATGCTTTCCCCCAGATAGGGGCAGTCTGTGGCTGGGTTGGGGAAGCCTGGCTGGGTCCCCACAGGCACCCTGATGTTCTGGGGGGCAGAGGGTGAGCAGTCTCTCCACGCAGGCTCTTCTCTGCTCTCGATGTGGTTCCCACAGGTCAAGAAGGCCCTCTGGCCTCTGTTCTTCTCCTCTTAGTCCACTCCCCTCCCCCTGCGTTTACTCCAGCTGACCACTGTCTACTCACCTTTGAATGAACTTTGTTGCCCTGCAGGGCTCTGCTTTTTGAGTCACTAAAAGCTCTGCTCTTAAAAATCAGAGCTTTGGTTATTTCTATGATCTCTGAAGTGGATGTCGATAGTGGAACCTTGACCCTGGCTCTGTCTTTGCTTTCCAAGAAAGCACCATTTTAATTCACCTCAGCAAGAGATGCTCTGACTTACGAGTGCAAAAGAAGAAAAGCCCAGTCATACGTGAATAGCTTTAAAACATCTCAGTGTGCACCAGCATCACTGCACTGCTCCCACTCGAAACGGCCCATGGCTTTCTATTGTGCTTAAGACAAAAATATTCAATATGGCCCCAAAGAGCCCAAATGGTCTGGTTTTTGCCTTTCTGTCCACCTGGATATTGGCACTACAGCCACTGCAGCCTGCTTTCTGTACCTCAAATAAGTCATGCTGTCTCCCCAAGGAATCTCGTCTCCCCTTTCTCCACCCTTAACTCCTTCTCCTCCTTCCTCTGGAAGACACCTCTCAAGCCACCCAGCTTCTGTGGTTCCTGTGGAATGAACCCCCATATCCTGCCTCCCTTTATCTCAGGTGTTTCCTTCACTTCTTGGGTTAGTTGGTTACTATCTCTCTGTCTCCCTGATTGTGTAAGCTGCTGGAGAACTGACGTGTAGTTCTTTTTCACCACTGGTCTTTAGCAAATGAATGGAAGAAATAGATGGGTGAATGGATGGTAGTTCCTCACTGAAGACAATCTTGCCGTATTGAAGTTGGCAATATTCTGGTGGTTTGATGCCAGGCTAAGTCTTTGAGGCTTTGCCACAAATAGGGAAAGGATATTGATCTGCAAAGGAGAGTTTAACTGGCTGGTGATATGAGAATCCATTGGGTCCTAACCCAATTTTATTCATCAACGTGATCAGTGGCCAGATAGAGCCTTCTGAATGGCTAGAATATATTGCTGCCTCTGGGATAATTTGAGGTGGGAGAATCAAATCTTCCTAAGTCACCTGCTCCTCCCCTCTGGAAATGTTACCCCTCGTGTGGGCTGCTCTTCAAGAAACTTCCACTAAATCCAAATAATTCTAGGAAGGCTCAGTCCTCATGAGCTACACTTTAGGCAGTTGAATGGACAGCTGAGCCCTGGAGATCAGGGGAGTGGGATGGGGAAGCAAGAGGCAGGTGGAAGGAGAGAGAAATGGAGAGGTGATCAGGAGGCAGGCAGTGCGGATGAGAGCCTGGCAGGGGAGTCGGGCATCAAAGGTCATCATCACCTTCACAGATTTGCCACACTCTGGTCCTTTTACCTTCATGCCTCATGATTCGACAAAAATGTCCTTTCACCATTTTGACTTTTTTTCCACTTCAAGGAAAAAAGATACAAAAACAAACAGGATAAATTTATTTAGAGGTAAATGGAAGCATCCGGACATGGAGATGGGGTGTTTGGCGTGTGAACGTCTCCTCTGGAAAAGCTTAGCTTAGTCCTCCATTTATTCCTTCAAGAAATGCTACTGAGGTCTACCACGTACCAGGCACTGTGCAGCCACCGGAAATAGAGAGGGAACAAAATAGACAGTTTTATGCTGCAGAATTCTGGGAATTTCCCATGAAGGCTTTGAGAGAAAAGAGCATGCATTCTCTTGTGTCTGCCCGGTCTCCCACGGCTTGGAACTGCCTGGATGTGATGGGACGTGGGACTTGGGGCAAGTTGAGGAATATATTGTATTGTTGGGAGGCATAGCAAGCATATGAGCGAAAAGGAAGCACTCTTCTTCTTTCCCATCATGTTTGGGTTTTGGCGACAGGGTAGGGGAAGATAAGGGGAAAGAGGGATGTGAGTGAGGTGCTGGATTCCAGGAAATGTCCTCACTGAAGTTTGAATATTCTGATGGCCTGATGCCAGCCTGAGGCTTTGAAGCTTTGCTGCAAATAGGGAAAATATGTTGGTCTGCAAAGGAGAGTCTAACTGGCTGGTGATATTCAAATCCATTAAATTTGCTGCGTCTTATGTTATTTATTTTTGTTCCTGATACCCAATTTCTACACTTCTGCAGTTATGTAAGGGCTAGAATCTTCATGTCCTAGCATCCCACCCTTAATAAAATTCCCTTTATTCCTTTCCTCACATTTATTACACATCTTCCTCCCTCCCCAGGCCATGATAGTGGGCATGTACAAAATAAAGCTATCCTGCGATTTCAATCAAAGCCACATAATGTCTTTCTAAAGCACTACTCTGCTTTGAAAAGTCAATATTCCCCCACTGGCAATTTCCCATAATGCGGTTAGTTTAACAAAATAAAATTTGAGAAAACAAAACATTGTGAAAATGATTGTGTTCCTACAAGTTCTCCTTCATTTTCTACTCTTTGGCATTTCTTAGCATTTCTCATGTCCCACCTCATTGTTGGCTAAGTGAGAAAGCCAAGAAAAGCTGGCCTTAAGCCTTTTGAGAGAAAAGGGTGAAGTTTTTAGGGTCTCTTGCATGAAAGTGATAGAAACTTAATTTGAGCTAGCCAGAGTCAAAAATCAAGTAGGGCAGAGCTTGGGGCTTATTAGCAGAAGGAGAGGAGATGAATCCTGGGCAGTGGGATGAACAGGTGTCCACATGGAGGCCGAAAGCAAGTGGTTCCTTCTCCTTCCCAACCAGACCATTAGGAGAAAGGTCAGGGGTGGAGGTGCTGGGAGAGGCTTCTGCCGTTTGGGAAAGGTGTCTAGGCTGAGGGGTTGAAAGTGGTTAATTGGGAAAAGGGATTGTCCAGAGCAGTGTGGGACTCTGTTCTGCACCCCTTTGCTTGGCAAAAAGGAAAACCTCTCCAAAGAGCTGTCTGCAAAAGTTGTGTGCACTCTCACCAGCATGCTCCTGCATGGCATCCATCCACCCTGTGCACCTCCCTCCCCACTGAAGCTGTGCGGGACTAGATCACCAAGAGCCTCCAGATCGCCAACTTCAAGGGGTGTTTTGGTCTTTAAGTTGCTCTGTTGGACATACTCGTCCACTCCTCTTGAAACCTTATCCTTTCTTGAGCGTCTGGGCATCGCTCTTGGCCTCTAAGGTCCTGCACTCTCTTGGTTTTGCACCTACTTCCTGACCTCCGTCATTCTCCTCTGCGGGCTTCTCCTCCCCTTGCTCCCTAGCTGCTGGGCAGCATCAAGGTTTGGTCCTGGGCTCTCTTCTGGTGTCTGTCTATGTGCTCCCTTTAAGTAGTTTCAGTGATCAGCATTTCCACCTAGATGTCCTAGAGACATCTCCAATTCAGACATGAAAACAGGACCTTTGAAGCCCTTCACTCAGTCCAAGTCTCATCCTCCCCATACCTTCTTGTCTCTGCAAGAGGCACTGCCATTCACTTGGGTACTAGCGCCCGTAATTACTGCATCCCATCCCGGACTCACATGTCTATTCTCCTCTATCTAACC